TTAGCCCCATGGGAGAGTGAAAGCAATGATTCTAGGTTCCCCCAGTTGCAATTAACCCTAAAATGGTGAAGTGTAAAAGCATTTAAATTGTCTATTAATAAGGATTTTATCCCCTTCTTTACAGATGTTTAACCACTTCCCCTCTAGAGCAATGTTTTCATTTTTTGCACAAAAGTTAAAATGTGCATTATTTTCTGAGAGCAGAGCCTCTGTAGAATACAAATATACAAGTTTTTGTGTTTTATGTTGCAGAATATTAGCACAACTGTTTCAAATCTATATTTTCATGTAAAAATACAGTAAATTCATTTTAGTGCACACAAATGTAATATAACCCTTAATGTTTTTTGCAGAAAACGAAAGTTGAGTAAATAGACCCCAACTGTGTCAACCCTCAAAACTTTGTCCACCCACAAAATGGAAAACAAATTGCAGTACTGCAAATTATTAACAGGCAATGCTATAAATGCCTTTAACGTGTCATCCATTTTAGTGTTAAAATGAGGGAGATAGCATTATTGCTATATTATCATTCAGACTTTCACATAATACCTAACGTATGGAAAAATTGCTGTTTACATACACATATGTGGGTGGGTCAATGGGGGCTTTTTTCATTATTTCTATGTATTTAATTATATTTCATTTTACTTAACTTTATACTGTAGCTATGGGAACTAACAATATCCTATGTGATGGCATTGGCAGGTGACAGATTTTCTTTGGAGACATCAGGGGTCTACTAGACCCCCAATATCTCCCCTACCCTCTGCTCCAGCTTACAGAGGGCAAAAGTGTACTCAATCAGCTGTTTTCCCAAATTTCTAGCTGGCATTTTGACAGCTTTGAACCAGAAGTGCTTAAAGCTGAGTGCTTCCAGTGTACACTGCTGCATAGGAGACCAGGAAATAGATGTCGCCATCCAGACCTTAGTTATGGTCCTGGGTGTGGGGACAGCACACGCAAGTCACTGAAAAGTCATTAGGCAGCTCCCTGCTTTACATTAAAGCAGAAAACCAGCAGATAAAAATTGTAACAGGCTCACAGTTGCTTTGAACTTGTTTTAAGCACCTACCTCCTGGCCTCTGCATATAAACAGCCAGGTAGGAGCTTGCTTGTTTCAGACACAGCAGATTACTAATCAGGGTACAGGGCCAATTTTATTGTGATCGCTGTGACCAATCATGATTGCAGTCTTTGGGCAGTTTCCACTCACAGCTAATTACTTTGAGAGAAAAATAAGTGCTTTGCTGCAGACTTGAGGACTGTAGTAAGCACTTTTAGAGTGAAAAAAAATCACTGCTCCCTCCCTTAAGCAGTACAGTGTCGCTGTGGGGACATTGTACTGCTCTGCCTGGTGATCGGAGAAACTGGCTGCTATACTGATGACACTATATGCAAGTGCAGCAGCCAGTGTCTCTGATCAGTAGCCATAGTAGTACACTTATTATTACTATATATTACTATTATATTATACAGGATTTATATAGTGCCAACAGTTTGCACAGTGCTTTACAAAATAACAATGCAACCCTAGTGGCACCAGTCCCAGTGTCACCAGACCAGTGCAGCCATCAAAAGTGTTCATGTTTACTAACCACGCCAGTTTTTGTGTCACCAGACCAGTGCAGCCTGCAAAAATGTTCCTGGTCACTAGCCATACCAGTTCTGGTGTCAACAGAGACAGTGCAGCCATCAACAGTGTCCCTGATCACCACTACTCCAATGCAGTGTTTCCCTTTGTCTGCTGTCTGTACTAATCCTAGCTTGTTTATTGAACACATTTCTGCTTGCTGTCTGAACTAATCCTTTGTCAGTTTGCTAACCATGTCTCTGCCTGCAGCCTAAACTGACCCCTCTGCACATCCTATTGACTATGTTCATGTGGGACACCAAGTTGTAATCAAGTTGATGGAATCACTCCTAAAAAGAAGGATTATTGATCACTTAAAAACACACAACTTGCTGGACCTAAAGTAGCAAGGCTTTACCAAGGGCAGATCAAGTCAGACTAATCTAACTGAATGTTTTGCTATATCTCTAATGTTTTGGACCAGGGTGATGCTGTGGACAGTCTAACTTGATTTCAGCAAAGTGTTTGATACAGTTCCACATAATGATCTAACACAAAAGTTGTACAAGCTAAGACTTAACCCTTGAGTGGTTCAGTGAATATGCAGTTGGCTAATGGATACATACTAGAATGTTGTTGTATATGGGGTTCAGTCACAAGTGGTGTACTGCAAGGCTTTGTACTAGGTCCTGTTCTATTGAATCTATGTGTAAATGATATAATAAAAGGGTTGTTGGGTAAGGTGTGTCTTTTTGCTGATTACACAAAGTTGTCTGTAACATGGAACATGATTTGGCATTGTTGGAAGATTGGTCAAAACAGGGGAAATTGCAGTTCATTGTTTCTAAATGAAAAAATAATGCACTAGGAAAAAGGATCCCTTGACAGAGTACAACATGGAGGTACAGTGTTGGCCAGTGCTACAGAGGAAAAAGATGTGGGGGTATTTATTTCAGATAACTGCAAAATGAGCAAACATTGGCCAGGCAGTGCAAAGATATCTTGGCATGTTTGCTTTCCAAAATGTGATCAATATGTGGGTGTTTCCACTGTCCTGATGCTCCAGGACCTTCAAAAATGTGATAGGTAGTCAGGAAATTATGTGTAATTTATGCCTCTAGAATTCCTGGAGGTGGTCCTTTGAGTTTGGGCCTTTTTATGTGACTAGGCTGCAAAAAAAAGTCTCACACATGCGGTATCCCCATATGTATGTAATTATAATTATAATTATGCCTATGTTGTGTGTGTTAGGAATATCTTATTACGTGACAACTTTGTGTAAAAACATATATTTTCATTCAACATTTTCTTAAAGGGATAGTTCACCCTCACCAAAGAACTGTCTATGCAGGTAAGGGGAGTCTGTGGATAAAAATAAACTGTGTGTCTCTGACTAAAGTTGAATAATGTCCTTGCCATAGGTGTAGGCCATTTATGTACCTCATGAAGCCTGGCTGGAATACTCCCAGGACGTTGCTAAGTGAGGCTTAGTCATTACTGCTCACCTCCACCATCACAGGAGTGAGCTTTTTCTCTGATTCAGACCCCCTCACATACTCTCTCTCTCCCCTGATACAGTAGCTCTGAGCTCAGTGTCTGTCCTCCTGTGATGGAGGAAGTGAGCAGTAACATGTAGACCTCACTTAGCAATGTCCTGTGAGTGTTCTAGTCAGGCTTCATGAGGTACATAAATGGCCTACACCTACAGTATAACAAGGGAATTATTCAACTTTAATCCAAGCTGCCTGCATAGTTTGTTTTTATCTACAGACACCCCTTATCTAAAATTTGTGGCAAAAAAAATTACATTTTCAACTGACTCACTATGCCTTTCAGGAAATACCTTGGAGTGTGTGCTTTCTAAAATGTGTGTCTCCTGTCCTGGCACTTTGAAGGACTGAAGAAATATGATGAGTAGTCAGGAAATTAGATGCCTAAGTTGTGCTCTGTGAAAGCCCAAAGGTGCCCCTTGGATTTTTATCCCCTCTATACATCTAGACTGTGAAAGTCTCATACATGTGGTATCTCCACACTCAGCAGGAGTGGCAGAATGTATTTGTGAAGTGTAATTGAAAGTGTATCTAGTCTGTGTGTGAGAAATAACTTAAAATTACAACTTTGTGAAAAAAAAAAACATTTTTTATTTAATTTTCCAAAAATTGTGACAGAAAATTAGAACTTCAAAAAACTCATCATACCTCTTATCAAATACCTTGAGCTGTCTACCTTCCAAAAAGAGGCCATTTTAGGGTATTTTGTACTATTCTGGAATTTCAGGGCCTCAAGAAATGAAATAGGCAGTCAGAAAATCTGGATTGATCAATTTTCAAATATACACACCATTGTCTGTAGACTCTATAGCTTTCACACAGACTAAATAATATATACCTATCCATTTTTTACCATGGAAATGTAGCAGAATACATTTTGGCCTAAATATATGAAGAAAGATTACTTATTTGCAAAGTTTTATAACAGAAGCTAAGGAAAACAATTTTTTTTACATTTTTGTTTACATTTCCATAGCAATTAATATATATATAAAAAAAAAACCCATGGTGATGAAATATTACTAAAAGAAAGTGCAACCTGTCTCTACAAAGTAATAAAAATTCATATAGGGGGCATGGTCTTGGCATGGAAGGATAAGGACATGAGATCACTGAGCTCCTGACTTGACGTACTCTCACAGCCGCTCTACCTAACACTTACTCCACATTTTCAGTTCACTCAACTCAGCTGGAGACAGACTACCACTGATCACTTTTTTTGCTACACCGCCCCAGGGATGGAACGCTTTCTATGGCCAAATCCACAATTGGCCTCTACGCAGTCTGGGTCCAAGATGGCACCAGCTCCAGCCACAAGGGTCTCCACCTTGGAACCTCCGGCGCTATTACCTGATGACCATGATAGCGTTCATGATTTACCTCCGTTCTTGTGTCCTAGTGATCTCTCCCCATGCCTGCCTAGATCTTTTGTGGCGTCCCTGGATGCGACTGAGTACTCGATCCAACTGGACTCTGGTCTTTCTGAGACGCTGGCTCTTTCTGCTCAACATACTACATGAAGCAGCTGCCATGTCACTGATCTTTCTTTACGTGGTACCGCCACATTGGTCACAGTGCATAGTGTCTGTAAGGACATCCCTTCTAATGGCCCCCTGGCTATACACTTGACGGAGCAGACCCTGTGGTCCTTCCTTAAACAACTCCCCACCAAAGCTAACTGGGTAGAGTCTGCCACATGGGGAGAACTACAAGGTCTCAGGCAGGATGTCTCTGCCATTGACTCTAGAGTAGCGGTGTCAGGGCTCCCAGGTGTGACCAGAGGTGTGTGACTGACGCAGGGAAACGCAGACTTCAGATATGTGATAAACAATATAATTTATTAACACTAACCATACAAACATAAACGCAGTGCAATACTAAAACATAATACAGTGCAAACAAACCAAACCAACCACCCACAGATAACAGTACATACAAGCAAGCGTCGTCAGGCAGGCCGGGTCAATATCAATAGGGCAGGTAGGTACAGGGGGAGCAAGCGGAGATGGGTCGGGGTCACAGGCCAGGTTCAGCAGGTAGCTAGCAGCGTAGTACAGAGGGTCAGGCAGAGGGATGGTCAGGGTCACAAGCCAGGGATCAGAACAGGTAGCAAGCAGCGTGGTACAGAGGGTCAGGCAGAGGGATGGTCAGGAGTGAGCCGGGATCAGAGCAGGAGAAGTCAGCAGCGGTTCAGATCAGGCAGGGTCAGCAAAGGAACAGAAACAGGATGCAGGACAGATACAGGGCCCAGGACAAACACAACACCAAGGCAGAGTCTGCAAGTCTGGCCATCCCTTAAATACACCAGTATCATCAGTTCCAGGTGTTAGCTGGCTGAAAGGTTGAGTCTCTGATTGCTGGGAGCACCCTCTGGCCAGCCCTGGTACTGCAGATCAAAAGGCAGGTGAGTCCCACCATTGCTGGCCAGTCCATTCCTGACAAGCGGGGATAAAAACTGATCATGGGGCTGCCATGCAACAGTTGGACTTCCTGCAGACTGCACATATGGACTTGACCAACCAAGTTACACAACATCTCTTGCTCCTTGATGACCTGGAAAACCGGAGCCATAGACAAAATATCCAACTTCACGTATTCCTGAATCTGTTCTTCAGACAGACCTGCGTGCCCACGTCTCTATTGTTTTCAACAGATACCTGGACCGATCCCCTGATACAGAGGTCATTATTGACTGGGCTATCAGACTTTAGGACTAGGCCCTACTTCCTTTAAGAGGCCGCATGATGTACTATGCCACCAGCACTCTTATAGACTCAAAGAGGAAATTCTTCAACAGGCCTAGAAAGTGGGGGTGCTGGAGTTTGATGGAGCCCCGATCCATCTGCTCCCGGATATTCCCAAGAAGACCTTGCTTATGCACAGAGCCCTGAAGCCATTGCTGGAGTGCATCGTGGAACTTGTTATACAAGTGGGCCATTCCTATCATCTGATAATACGTAAGGGAAACCATACCTTCCCCTCACGTCATTCATCTGACTTACATGACTTATTCTCATTTGCGGACATGGAGCCTAAGCCAGTACCCAAGTGGCTTACCATTCCCACTACCACGGATTCGACAGAACAGACAGCCTGGGGTAAACCACAATGAGGGTGTGGCAACTGTCGCCCCTGGAGGAACAGACAACAAGCTGCCCTTCCAGAGGAGCTAAATTGATGACTCCCTGACCAGCTCGCAGTCTACCGAGCTCCAGTTTTGGTACACTTGACCCTGGGCATCCCTACGGGTCTTATGCCTTTATATGCCACTATATCCTCCTAGAGACTTATGAGACGGTGGTCTCCTAGAGGGGTAACTGATCTAGAGCATCATTCCTCATCTTCCACTTAATGCCTTCACAGCTTGTCATACATTGATATTATTTTTCTTCATCATACTTAGACGGTATACTTATACCTTTTGTCTGCCCACATACATATGCGGTCTCGTGGATGGGATTTTTTTTTCTCACTGAGGGAGGGGGTCATATAGCGCTCCTTCTCCCCCCATAATTCTATGAGACCGCAGGTTGCTATACATGCAGAGATATAGTCTTGCATGAAATTGTGTTAAGATGTTTACTAGAGTGGCCTCTCTGGGGCATTTGCTTTCAGATGCTTTCCATGCCTTTATTTGTCAGTTTCTTCGCTGGCTAATCTGTGCTTATATTTTTACCTAGACTTGCACTTGGGTGACCCCTGCTTCTCTGTGGTCTTTTTAGCAGGAGGGGACCCACTGAGTGCAATTCTTATTCTCTTTCCTGTTGTATGAGCCCCTTTGGGGTACTTACATGGAAGGTACCGTACATATCCATATGTTATAGTTTAAAGTAAGTGTAAGGCCTTCACCTCTGGGAGTTGGCCTCGTAGTTGATTTTGAAACTAGAATGCCAATGTTATTCTCTTCATGTGTTCTTTTGGGGCCCCATGGGTTAGGGCTCAGCCTCTGAAAGTACCTACCCACTACCCACCTTAGTTTTTCCCTGCCCTAGTGGTAGTAGAATTGCTCTTTTGAGCTATTACTCTATAGAACTTTCCTTTTCTTTCTTCCTCCTTTTCCTTTTCTTTGCTCGCTCTCTCTCATTCCCATACCCCCTTTGTAATTTCTTCTCTACCCCTTATAGTTTTCTTACTCATTTCAACTTTCCTCTTCTCCCTTCTTCCTTTTTTTTTCTTCTCTCCTTTTTTCCCTCCCTCTCTCTCTCCCCTTTGCCTTGCCTTCCCTTCTCACTTTCCCTCCTCCCCCTCTCGCTGTCTCTTTGGGGTTGTACTAGCAGCTTACTATGGATCCAGGAGTCATGGCCACAAAAATTATTTTGTGGAACGTGAAGGGGCTAAATTCCCCAAAGAAATGCACTAATTGTCACACTGAATTGTGGAGACAAAGGCCCACATAGTCTTCCTTCAAGAGACTCACTTCAAGAGATCCCTAAATTTTACAACAAACTTTTTCCTACGGTATAGCTTTTCCGCTTTCCAAATCAAAAAGGGACTAGTACCTTGATTGCTAAATATACCCCCTGGCAACTCCAAGATGTGTTCCGTGATCCATAGGGTATATTTCTTGATTCCTTCATAGAGGGTACTCTCATATTAGGTGGGGACTTTAACATAACCATCAACCTCGAAAAGATTCCTCGGTTGGCCACACAACTCTTCCTAGACGTCTCCAAATATGTCTCAAAGACCTCCATTCCCACCAGCTGGTCAATATCTGGAGGATCTTCCATCCTGGAAAGCTGGACTACATTTTCTTTTCCCCTCCCTATGGCTCTTACTCCAGAATCGATTTCTTTCTCATTAAACATTATTCCATACCTTTGATATCTAAGACCAATATAGGTCATATTGTGCTCTCAGACCATGCCCTGATTACTTTAGTAATCACGCCAACCCAACAACCACCGGGAACTCTGACCTGGCGCCTCAATGAGTCCCTTCTGAAAGCCCCAGATATCTTAGCTGATATCCTTTGCGAATTGAAAACTTACGTTTCTATGAATTTAGGCTCTGTAGACAAACCTCTCTCTCTGTGGTCGGCAAACAAGTGTTATATTTGAGGATTCTTTATCAAACATGGACATGCTGCCAAACAAAGCAGACTAAAATCTTTGTTCAACCTACTCACTAAGCTACACACCCTAGAACGTACACACAAATCTAACCCAGATTCAACCACAGAAGCTGAACTTACGAAAGTTAGAGAACAATCAGAGAACATTCTCTTTATGAAGCTAAATAGGTACTCTTGCGGACACGTTGCTCCTGCTTTGAATATGGTGACAAGTGTGGTTGCTTGCCGGCCAGAGCATTGAAAGCTCAGAATGCTCAATCGTTTATTTCTGCTTTGCCCACATCCTCGGGCACTAAAATTTATTCCACCCCGGAGCTAGCTAACGCTTTCCACTCATTCTATTCCTCTCTCTACAACCTAGGTTCGACTACCTCAACTACCAGACCCCAGACCTCTTTAGCCAATATCCCCAACTATGTACAAATTGCCAATCTCCCTGCTCTTATGCAAGAAAAATTAGAATTCTTGAGCCAACCAATCTCAGCAGATGAGCTAGCGGTGGCGTTAGTGGCGACCCAACCCAGAATGTTTCCTGAACCTGATGTCTTTGTCCTTGCGTATTACAAAAGCTTCCTTTTCCAACGTATGCCTCACTTCCTGAAAGCCTTAATGCCATCACAGAAGGCAGAACAGTCTCTTCTGACCAACTCAGGGCCAGTATCTCTGTCATACCAAAACCAGGCAAGGACTCTGTGCCAGTTACCATCCCATTTCTCTTCTGAACTGCAATGTTAAAATCTTGGCGACCAGTTGAACGTCCTAGTACAACTTCTTATATCCTTGTATCACGTAGGGTTCATTCAATCCAGAGCAGCAAGGGATGACTCTATTAGAACTTTGAACATTATAGCTGCCTCCAAAAAACAAAGCACTCCCCTACTACTCCTATCTACTGATGCCGAAAAGGCATTTGATAGAGTAAATTGGACTTTCTGTTTGAAACACTTAAGCATTTGGGAATGCCATCCCCGATCTTATCCTGAATTAGTTCCCTTTATTCCAATCCCACCGCTACCATCCAGGTAAATGGCTTTAACTCCGAATCTTTTGCTGTCTCCAAAGGCACTAGACAAGATTGCCCTCTTTCACCTCTTCTCTTTGTGCTTACCCTGGAACCTTTTCTCCAACACGTCCATTACAACCCAAATGTGAAAGGCCTGCAAGTCTCAAATTACCTTCACAAAGTCGCAGCTTATGCGGACAACCTCTTTTTTTATGTTTCAGATCCTCTCATCTCCTTACCTTCCTTGTTACAAGAACTAAAGACTTGTGGTTCCCGATCCAATTTCAAAGTGAATCTTCAAAAATCATAAGCCCTCAACATCTCATTAACGGATAATGTCCTCTCCAAGATACGTCCAAATTTTCCATTCCGCTGGGCTACAAATCACATCCAATATCTAGGGATGCAAATTCCTGCTGACCTTACCACAACCTTTAAACTTAATTTCCATCCAATTATGGGGTTTCTCTGGAATAAGACTTTGCAAAGGCTCCATTGATGGGCCTACCCTGGGCTGGTGTCCTACATACTATCTTTCTGCTCACCCTCTGATTGGTCTCACTCTGGCTGAAATGGAAAGGTTGTACAAACACGTGTCCTTGCAGTGCTTCCATTCTCCGATGACACCAATCATAGGCCACCTGGCATTTCACCCAGGTCTTTCGGATCCTGGGTTTGTTGACCATGCCCCTCAGGGGCTATTACATGCCTCTTTCTTTCTTCAAACAACAGGTTGGATACCAATCACCAGTCTCTTCGTCAGTTCGGGTCCCCACCCTCTGAACCACTGGAGAGCCCTCCAGTTATCATATTTTCTACACAGGTTACCCAAACCACATCTTTGTCAGAGGACCCTAACTCAGTTTGAAGAACTATGCTTGGGAGATGGATCCAAAAAACACTATCCTCCTCTTACCAACACTTACTGGCACTACATGGGAAATGGGAAAGAGACCTACAAGCCACATTTTCCGAAGCACAAAAAAGATTGGATCCTCTTCTCTGCTCACAAATCTTCTTTATTCCACAAATTTCAGGAGACAACCTATAAAATTATAACCCGGTTGTACAGGTTATCGGCAGCATTAGCCAAACTGTTCCCACAAATGTCTGATTGCTGCTGGCGATGTGGAGCCCACTTAGGCGTGCTTCTTCATATTTTTTGGGAATAGCTTGATATCCTCCCATTTTGGTAGCAAGTCCTCCAATTTACA